GTAGTTATGGAAAGGGCCACATCAGTGCTGAAGAGAGGTTTTGGTGGGTAGGCTGCGACAAGAGTCATAATGTCATACACTTCGAGCACAAGTTTTCCCATAAGGAAAAAACTGTAAAGTAGAATTCATTTTGCGGTGTACATGGACTTTTAATGTGAAAATTTCAATGAAAAGTTTTCAGTACGACAAGTTTCATTCATACATACAGTGCGGTCCACATGTATGGAATAAATTCGTTTGTAGAGTTATTATGTACTATGTGAAAAAACCTAAAACAGGTCGATTTTTATTTACGAATTGACAATTTACAGTATGAAAATATTATCCCCCTTCAGCACCCCTTCTGAATTATCAGCACCCGCTCGAAAATTTTAAATGGCAAAGGGGTCGTGTGGCACTTTGTTGGAAAGGGATTTTAGTCCTCTGTTCAGCAATATGACGTTTTTTCAGTTTGGTGCAATCATAACTGAGAAAATTAATTTTTACAATTAAATCAAATGTTCAAAATGACCACCATTATTTACTGTTTGACAATAAACTTGATCTGCAACATGCTCCTTACTAACCTTGAATCCTGGAAAAAATCTTTGAAGATACTAAAATATTAGACAAAAAGCCAAATGAACAATTGATATGAATCTAGTAGGCTGCTGTTATTTAAGTATTTAAAGTTACTAAATGACGTCAGTATAATATTTGTGAGCGTATTAAATTTAATTATGGCTCATTTGTCCAAGACTCAAAGAAGAGACATTTTAATTATGATTGATTGTAGTAATAAAACAAGAATTTAATAGGAGGTTTGTGAATATTTAATAATAAATACCCTGGTCAACACGTGTCGCAGTTTAAAGTTAGCAAAATTGAAAAAAAGTTTCGTGAAACTGGACATGTAAAAAATATTGGAAAACCAGGTAGAAATGTTCAATTTACTGATGAGAAAAAAGTTAGATTCACTTCTAGAGATTGAGGAAAATCCGCATAAGGCAACTCGAGAACTTGCCGCCGACAAAATAGATGTAAGTAAATCATCTATTTTGAGAGTTTTGCATAAAGAAAAATACCCCCCTTTCAAAGTTCAGTTGGTTCAGGAGTTAAACGAAGATGATCCTGATAGAAGGCAAGAATTTATTTATTTATTTATTTATTTATTCTAAATTCGGGACACATACAGGTAAAAGAACCCAAACAAGTATCCACTAAAATACATATTGTGCTAACAAAACTGGCGTTCAACAGGTAAATGATCTAAATGCTTAATCTAAAACATAAATGATTAAAAATTGAATATTTTCCTTATGTTACTTCTATACATTTGTAAGGACATGGAGAAAACGTCCAAATTGGAACAGTATCTGTTGAATGAGTCTGTAGTTCTATTTATTGGAGAGTTTTTCCCCACATTTTTGTTATATGTGGAAGTAGCTAATAAATATTTATTCCTTGTGTTTCTCTGGGGTACATGAAAGGACATCATTGCTATCAACTCAGGCGAGTCAATAAGATTCGTTAAAATTTTATAGCCAAACACTAGATCCGAAGTGATTCTCCGTTGTTCTAGAGGCTGAATGTTATAATAGTTACGGATTTGATTAATACCGTGAGTTACATAGACATTAGTGATTCGGTAATGAAGATGTCTAACAAACCTATTTTGCAGTCGTTCTAAACGCAATTTGAATGTATTATAGCAAGGATTCCATATAATGCTAGCGAAATTCAACTTGCTATAAACAAATGCATAATAGATAATTTTAATAGCGGCTTCGTTGTTGAAGTCTTTGCACATTCTATTGAAGAAACCCAGTGTTCTGTTGCTTCTATTTATGACATATTCAACATGGCGATTGAAATTCAATTTTGTGTCAAAGTATACTCCAAGGTCCTTGATATATTCTACTCTATTTAATGCAATACTATTCAACAAATACTGAAACAATATGGGTGAATGATTTCTATAAAACGAAATACATGTACATTTTTCCACGTTGAGTTTCAGCTTATTTATATCACAATATATTACAAATCTAGCAAGGTCTTCCTGAATTTTTAAACAGTCTCTTATGGAGGTAATTTTTTTAAATATTTTCAAGTCGTCCGCATATAACAAAATATTAGAATAAAGAAAACAAGACTGTATGTCATTTATGAATACTAAAAACAACAGTGGACCCAGGTGTGAGCCCTGAGGTACCCTTGAGGTAACCACGAAGGGCGTTGACTTGAATCCATTGATGCTAACAAGTTGACTACGATTAAATACATAAGAGGACAGCCACCTAAGAAGATCGCCCTGTACACCAATTCCAGCAAGTTTCGACATGAGTATATTATGATCAACCTTATCAAAAGCCTTGCTGAAATCAGTATACAGTAAATCAACTTGTTCACGGCTGTCCAGTGCACTCGAGATATATTCGGTGTAAATGACTAAATTTGTTTCGATGGAACGTTTAGCGAAGAAACCATGTTAAATGTCAGAGAGTGAGGTCTTTAAACCATAAAATAGTGAATCATAAACTATGCTTTCAAATACCTTACTGAAAATAGAGAGTTCACTTATACCCCGATAGTTATTGACTAGATTTCTACTGCCTGAGTTTTTATATATCGGGACGAGAAGAGCCGTTTTCCAAATCTTTGGGAAGATACCAGACTGAATAGATGTATTGAAAAGTTTACAGAGTGGGAGGCATAAACTGACTGCACAGTTTTTAACAAAATACGATGGATAGCCGTCGATTCCTGCACCTTTATTGACGTCTAATGTGTTCATTTTTCCAAGCACTAATTCAGGAGTGAAATGGATAGAATGAATCAAATTGTTGTTGCTAAGATGCGCGGAGAAATTATAAGATTGTTGATATGGACTATAAACAGAACGAAAGTAGTTGGCAAAAAGTATACAAATATCTTTGGCGTTATCTGCAATGGTATCATTAAAATTCAATTTATTAGGAATACCTACACCATTTCGACAACTTGACGCGTAGTTCCAAAATTCCTTCCGCCAGACTTTGATATCTGTTTGAATATTATCAATGTATGCTTTGTAATTTTTGAAGATTAGATTCTTGCTCCTACGCCTGAGTATTTTAAATTCCTCATAATAATACTGATGGCCATACTTCTTCCATTTTTTGTGCATCAGGTTTTTGCGTTTTATATAGTTAACAGTATCGATAGAGAAATATAGTGGGAACCTCTTATTCCTAATAGTAACTTCGGGAACATACAATCTAGTACCTTCCTCAAGAGCTTCATAGAACATTGTTACCGCTTCGTCAATCGAGAGGTTGGTAAAGAGCTGTTCCCAGTCGCGATTATGAAAGTAATTATTCAACTCATCATAATTTGCTTTCTTATAATTGAAAAATTTTTCATTTTTGGTATTAAGTGGGTACATTTCTTGGTAATATATATAAAACTCAATAGGTGGATGATAAGAATCAGCCCTCACCAAAGAAATATCACTCATTTTCAAATCCGTTAATTCAACATTTACAGAAAAAACTAAATCTAATGTTCTGTGAATTGATGATGGACAGAATGAACGCAGATTTGAAGTTCATAAACAAAATAGTGTTTTCTGATGAAGCGACGTTTCATTTAAACGGAACAGTTAACAGACAGAACTGTAGATATTGGAGCAGAGAAAATCCTCACTGGATGTGTGCGACTCACACTCAATATCCTAAAAAAGTTAACGTTTGGGCTGGTATCATTAACAATAAAATTATTGGCCCTTATTTTTTTGAGGGCACTGTTAATGGTTAGGTTTATCTAGATTTTTTGATTTACTTTTTAGTGCCTACATTACAAATACATTTTCCTGATGTTAATCATCCAAATAAGATAGATCGAACTATTTACTACCAACAAGACGGAGCTAAACCGCATTTTGCACGTACAGTTGGAAATTATTTAAACGAGGTTTTTCCCAATAGCTGGATTGGAAGACGTGAAACGATCGAATGGCCAGCTAGATCCCCCAATTTGACTCCTCTCGATTACTTCTTATGGGGTTATTCAAAATCTAAAGTATATTTTAGTTGACCAAACAATATTGCTGATTTAAAAGTTACGATAACGAAAGAAATTAACAAAATAACCCCCGAGGTCATACAAAATGTTGTACGAGAATTCCAAAATCGCCTCGGTTATTGTCAACAAGTTAATAGTGGTCATTTTTAACATTTAATTTAATTGTAAAGTACATTAAAAAATACATTCTAAATATTATGTGGCATTATTATCTTCATTCTAAGTAAAGTTTTGTGATACTAGAGACATTATCAAAATTTTACATCCTAAAAATCAATTTTCTCAGTTAAGATTACACCAAAGTTAAAAAACTTTATATTGCTGAACAGAGGACTAAAATCCCTTTCCAACAAGGTGCCACACGACCCCTCTTGCTATTTAAAATTTTCGAGGGGGTGCTTATAATTCAGAAGGGGTGCTGGGGGATAATATTTTCATACTGCAAATTGTCAATTTAAGAATAAAAATCGACCTGTTTCAGATTTTTTTACATAGTACATAATAACGCTAAAAATGAATTCATTCCATACATATGGACCGCACTGTAGAATATTTCTGGTTACGCCTCTCGACTCCTTATGATATTAGAGCAATCGCAATTTTGTGTAGGTTGGTATCTCTCATGATTTTCTCCACAACCGTTTGTTCAACGTATACCCTTCTGTCCCTCTGCGACGTATCACCTCACAGTCACGAAGTTTAAGGAAAGACTGTTGGCATTCTCTGTATTCCATGCTATCTAGTATCGGGACTCTGGTTATTGGTGAAATGACCCCAATATGACACAACGGGTGAACTCTTAAACCCCGAGGAAACAGAGGCAGAATAAAAAAATACCTAGGCCAACTTTTTATTCATTTACCCCAATAGTAAAAAAACATTGTTACCTGGTAGCATCTTCGTACAGCGATATCATAATCCTGTTTTTTAACTGCAGCTTATTGTTTCAGATGACCCCCTCGTCTTGAAGCCGTTATCTTTTCTAGTTTTCCAAACTGGCCCATCAGTTTTGGATCTCATACCCGCCGCCGGGGGCGGGAAGCTCCACCAGTACAAAAGAAAAAGAGAAAACTCAAGACGAGGAGAAAAAAACTACATCTAAGGAACAACGTCAGCTAGAACACGATATTGCGGTCAAGGTAATTGTTTCATAAACTTTGTCCTCATAATTGGAAACATTGAGTTCGTCAAGTTAACGGATAGAAAAATATATATCTGATAGTCAAAGATGTACTGCTCAAGTTGATAGATTTCAGTTTCACTATCAATTTGTGTCATCAAATATATTTCACAGACTATGCAATGTAACAATATACTCGAATTCATTCGAAATGGTATATTGTTAGTGGGTAACTGAATAAGTGAAAATACGGAAAAATAATGTATTTAACTGTTATTCCTCATTTGATTTCTTCATGCTATTTTGTATAAAATCTATTAACATACTTGGTTCTGCTTTTCTGTCACAGGGAGAGCAAAGAAGCTATAAAAGTCCCGGTTTTAGGAAATTACAACAGCAGATAAAGGTATGCAGAATGAAATTTATGAAGCTTCTGGGTGGACTCATTGAAATTAAAAATATTTACTAGTATAACTATCAATATTTCAATATTTTTAACCACATGCGATCTCATTTCATCGATATAGTACAAACACAAATATTTTTTCTCGATGTATTTCATCAGTTGGGACTTTCATTGTCTAATATAATATAAATTGATTTGGAATCCCTGAAAAAAATAAAAGACAACAATTTTATTGAAACAGAACTCCAACAGAGCTACAACTCCTAACGTCAACAATGAAGAATGAAGAGCCCTGAACGGGCTACGTAGAGACAACACCATCAAGATCCTACCTGCAGATAAGGGAAACGATGCTGTTGTGATGGATACTGATCTCTACGAACAAAAGATCGAAGAGGTGCTTCAGAAAGGAAAATACACGAAAATCGTAAAAGACCCTACTGCATCAATTGAAAGGAAGTTGTACCAGACTTGGAAAAAGCACCAAGTCTATTTTTCGGAAAAAGAGCGATCATCGCTAACACCGCACTACAGTAAGCCACCTCACTTGTATGGACTAACCAAAATCCAAAAAAGTATGTTCCGCTCAGATCGATCATTAGCTCCAGAGATTCAGTCACTCACAACTTGTCCAGGTTTTTGCTACCAATAATTGAACCATTGCAAAGTAAAACATCATCTTTTGTGAAAAATTCAAGACATTTCGTTGAACTACTAGGGGAAATCGAAGTCAAAGAGCAGGATCAACTGATCAGTTTCGACGTTAAAAGCCTCTACACCAACGTTCCTGTCGAAGAAGCACTTCCAATCATACAGAAGAAGCTATCAGAAGATGGGGACCTGAAAGATAGAACAAACTTACCGATACAAGTAATCATGGAATTACTAGGATGCTGTGTACGAAACTGCTGCTTCCAACTGAAGGACGAATTTTTTACGTAAGATGAGGGACTGCCAATGGGATCGCCACTTTTACCGATTATAGCTATATATATATATGGAGTGGTTTTGAAACTCTGGTCATTGAAGAAGCCCACAAGAAGCCCCGAGTCTGGTTGAGATACGTAGACGACACCTTCATAATATGGAACCATGGGAATGCAGAACTAGACATTTTCCTGAGGCACATCAACAACGTAAGTCCTTCCATCACTTTTACAATGGAGAAGGAAGTCCAAAAAGAATTGTCCTTCTTAGACGTATTGGTGAAGAGGACCGACACTAAATGGGAAACATCTGTATATCGAAAACCCACTCACACAGGACAGTATCTGAACCAGAAATCCAACCACCACCAATCGACTAAGAGAGGAATCATCAAGACTCTACTAGACCGTGCTTTCGAGCTCTGTAATACAAAGGAAGGTCTCGAAAAAGGAATAGGCATCATCAAAAATGACCTTCAACGGAATGGTTACTCCAGAGTGATGGTAGAACAGGCTTTAGCTAGAAGACAGCAAGAGCTCCACAAGGAAGAGAAGCCGCCACAACCAGTACTTATACTCCCCTACATCAGAGGATTATCGGAAAGAATAAGAAGGATTGGGTCCGAGTATAACATCAGGACCTGTTTCAGATCTGGGAACACTATCCGTAGCAGCCTCACAAAAACCAGGTCACTAAACGCGGACTGCGATTCCAAGAATTGCATTTATCGGATACCCTGCGAGTGCGGAGAATCATACATCGGTGAAACTAAGAGGCCATTGAAAGTTCGCATTGCTGAACACAAGAAACACACACAGCTAGGAAAAACCAGCAAATCCGGAATAGCAGAGCATGTTTGGACTCATCAACATAATATCAAGTGGGCTCAAGTTGAAATCATCCACAAAGAGGAACACTGGTTTAGGAGAAAATTTAAAGAAGCTGCGTATATGTTATCCAACAAAGCATTTAGTCAAGCTAACGTAGAGATACGTAACATTTGGAAACCTCTAATCAAACGAAAAACGACCAACTCCCGCCAAACGGTCATCTCCCGCTAAAACCAATGAAGTGGAGAGAGAGAAGAGGGGATAGGTGAAAGCACTCGAATGGCCTATAAATAGTCAGATCTCGGAGGAATAAGTCAAGTTATCACCCGAAGACGATTGTGGATACTAACAATCGAAACGTCGTGACGTAACTTGGTTTAGAATCTTTTAATTTTTATTTTTATTTTTCATTTTTGTTAATAATATTTTTCAATCTTCAGCTTTCATTAATATTTCAATTTTTCATTTTCTGGTTGTAGCTTGTATGTTATTTCCTTGTAATTTCAGTTTTTTGTTTTAATAAAATGTTATTTTCGGTTAATCTTTTATTTTTTTCAGGGATTTCAAATCAATTTATATTATTTTAGACAATGGAAGTCTGAACTGATGAAATACATCACGAAACATTGTCAACCACCTCCAAACATTTTTTCTCGAGTTTTGCAGTGAATAAAATGATTATATTTATCAGATTTGAGATTACGCTAATATCACAATGCGAGGATTACAACTGATGTAATTTATTCAGACTTGTCATTACGTGTGGAGTATAACACCCTTCAAATATCCGCCATAACTCCTTTGAGTGGAGCCAATCTGAAAGACTCTGGCGCATAAATCAGGCTGAATTTGACCGGTGGCATGGGTTATATTGACTTTGACGACTGCTGTGGTTTGTAACTCATTTCCATACATCTGCAACCTGAGAGAACCCCACACGAAAAAGTCTAACGGGGTCAAATCGCATGATCCCGGTGGCCAGTTCATATCACTTCCACGTGGAATGACCATGCCCTCAAATCGCTAGTGCAGAATATCCAGTGTAGCATGAGGTGTGTGGCGCACGTAGCGCCATTCTGTTGAAACCATATGTCGTTGGTATCCAGATCATCTAATTAAGGCCAAAAGAAGCTGGTAGTCATCGACATATAGTGCTCGCCATTGACAGTGATGGCCTTGCCAATGTCGTTCTCAAAGGAATATGAACACCAAACAATGACTTTTACGGGACGCTTTGGACGCTCGTGGACCTCATGTGGATTGCTATCTTCCCAAATTCATTAATTTTGTTTGTTTACATACCCATTCATCTAGAAATGGGACTCATCGCTGAAAATGATTTTTCGATGAAAATTAGGATCAGTTGCCTACTTCTCCAGATCCCATTTAACGAACACACGTCGTTGTCTATGGTCATTTGAATTCATTTCCTGGGTCAGTTGAACTTTGTACGGGTGCAGGCCCAAGTCTCGACGCAAAATTCGCCAAGTTGTGGTATGCGAAAGGCCGAGTTCCCCAATACACTCTCGCAGACAGCGACTTTGCAGATATCAGACGCAAAAACAATAAGTGAACCAGTAAATGGCGCGTAAAAAGCTGAAGTGGAACCGAAGCACCTATGCAACATCTTCCATATGGAAAATTCGTGGCAAGTAACTTTAATTGAATAGGTGAAATTAATTTCGTTTGGTCGGGACGATCACCAATAGACCAGTTTCGGAGTACTATTCCAGACGGAGCTAACAGTGTTAGTAGCCCTACTACTAGAAAATGGCTTGATCAATTTTTATGAAATTTTATATGTGCATTCAGTAGGCCTGATAATTGGTTTCAATCTATTTTTCACACCCCTCAGTGAGACAATTTTTTTTGTGATAATTTTTTCATGATGTGCCATTTTTCACCCTTCTATCATCAACCCCTGTTTTCAATTAGCCAATTCAGTAATTTATTTATTTTTAACCCAATCAATTATTCCAGCCAGGCATCTACCGGTATCACTTCTCACTCAGTAAACGGAGTAGGGATGAGAACAAAACCGGTTTTCTGTCTCACTCACACAATAAGTCTTTTCACACACAGATAATTATACGTAGGTAAAGCATCCAGTTTGTGTTGGCTAAACATGGACTAATGAAAAATATTGTACACACACATTAAGGGATTAATATTATTTGTGAGTGTTTTTATTCTCATAGAAATAATGAATGTAGCAGAACAACATTTGCCAGATTGAGAATATCAGTGGTTGTTTTTGAAATATGCACCAAAAATTAGAAGTGTCAAATTTCGTTTTTTCGCTCTACTGCCTTCATTTTGAATGATAAAAAACAGGCAGAGGAACTTTCGACACTGTGTCATATTTGTTATGGTCTGATATGATCCAATTCGCAATGCGACGTTTCGTTCATTAAATTTCATCATCAACTTTATTTTTTACATACGGACCTCTAAAATATTGAACGAAAATCTTTTTTCGTGGAGGAAAATCAGTTTTTCATATTTTTCACTTCGTGAAAGGTAAAAATACCCAAAGGAGGTCGATAAAAAAACGGACCTTCAGTTTTTTTCATCGATTTTTGTAGTCACTGTAATAACAAATTCAGCTATGTATTACAATGCATGTGTTTTCTGACAAAAAAGTAAGGACTAATATTTTTTGGGTCTATTGGAAGAACATATGTAATAAACCAAATAACAAAAGTTGATGTCAAAATACTCGTAACCATCTACGTCGTTCGCAATATATCATTAAATGTTTAAATTGCCGCCCATCATTCCTTAAACACATATTTGCTTTTCCAATAGTATTTTTATGGGAATTTTCCAGTATTTGTGGAGCTATAGCTCCTTTAT